TCTTTATATATTTTGTATGTTAGTTCTCTGTCAGATATAGGGTTAGTGAAGATCCTTTCACAGTCTGTAGGCTGTCGTTTTGTTCTGATGACAGTGTCCTTTGCTTTACAGAAGCTTTTCAGTTTAATGAGGTCCCATTTATTGGTTGTTGATCTTAGAGCTTGTGCTGTTGGTAGGTACCCAGATTTTTATGGCATGCCTGTTCTTAGAAATACTCAACAGATTGTCACTGAATAAACACAGAAACTTTGGTCCTGAATATATGTATCCTCTAATTGTTTACCCTTATTATTATGCCAAGGTAAATGACATTTTTTATTATGTCTGTTATCATCAATGGACCACTTGCTGACTTCTAAATGGAATAATATACATACAGAAGGCCTAAGAGGATCACAAATGAAACTTAAACTCAATGATCCAGAGGTTCTACTCCAAAAGATCCAGCATAACAGTGTCCTCAGATGGAAACAAATGATGCTATTTAGAGAAAATGAACCATTCTGACTTATTAGCAGGCATATTAACTGTTTATTTTGATTTCCCTCACATATTTATATTTTGTGTGTACTTTATATTTGTGCTACCCCTCACCTGACAGGGAAATAGAATATACAAACATTAAGTAAGAGTTTACATAAATATATCTGTCAGTGTAAATCCTCAGTTATAATTCCTACAATTGAGGATAATATTGTTACTATTATATCATGAATATCCTGTCTACAGATATCTTAAAATATATTTTAATGGTTAAAAAAGAATACCAAAAGCAAAAGAGCATTCCATGTGTGAGAAATCATAAGGGGGAAATATGCAATTAAGATGTGTTGTATTCTATAGAAATCAGTTTAAAAATCGCCAGCTTTGGGAAGGTGGTGGCCACATCTGTAGTCCCAACACTTGACAAGCTGAGGTAAGTGAACTGCTGAGTGTTTATGGCTACAGAGTTCCAGGACAGCCTGGGCTGTAGTGTGACATCCTGACTCAACAAGCCATAAACAAGCCAACAAACAGAATAGTAACCATTTTTTTCCTATGTGATAGGATTAAAATAGCTGTTTAATTAAAACATTTAAAAGTTTTGAATGCCTAGTGAGTTGTAATCCTTTGTTGTTAATTTAACTTGTTTTTGGACCAGCAGGGCCCAGCAGCATTGAACTTCATCAAAGTCACTTGCATTCAAAGCCAAATGTGTATTTTCAGCTGCATTGTTTATCTCTGAGAAATGGGGCCACCTATAACTCTCAGAGAATAGGGCTCCAACTAATTATAACCTGAGTTTAGCTAATTAGTCTTCCATATCTTTTCTTTTCAGATAACAGCCAGCCACAGTGGGGATCAACCTTTAAACCTTCTGCATTCGTTTAAGCTTTCTTCCAACTTCTACTTCCCAAGCCTTACTATGTTTTTAAATATGATAACATAATAAAAGTGAAGAATGTGCTACCCCTCACCTGATAGGGAAAGAGAGATCTCTGTCAGGGCAACATGGTCAATTTATGCTTTGCATAAAGAGACTGCAAATGGTAGAAGCAGGAAAACAAGAAATATCATTTCTGGGCTCAGCGAATACTGTTCTATGTATCTTGTTAAGAGAGTGAAGTGAAAATTTAATATAAGCCATTTAAATTTCACAGGTATCTCCTCTCAATATTTAGGTCCACAGGACCCTGACCGATGAGCCCTAGGCTATGACCTGGTGTGAGTCTTGTTTGGTTAAATACAGACAGTAGGCTTTTATACCACGAAGTCTGAAAAGCCAAGGCATTTCCAGCATGGCATAGATTCTGCTTTTTCTTGGCCAGGGGTGAGGTCTAATTTTATGAGTCCTCAATTTATCATTCATTATTTCATACATTGAGTTGCTATTGAGTGAACACATGTTAAATTCCAGGCCATCTGCCAGTTTCTAGGACTACAACAGTGATCAATGTAAGCTTTCAACCATGTAAGGTAAAGAGAAATAAATACAAATATGTAAAATTTGCAGTAAGGGCCAAGGCCCTGATGAAAATACAGAGGGAGGCAAATGATTACTAGGGAGTGACCTTGACAGTGGCCTGAAAAAACTGAGTAAAACCACAAAGAAATGGGTAGGCAGCAAAGGCCCCGTGGACATTCTCAGGGCTAGGAACAAGGGCCATCTACTGAGTTGACTGCAAAGAATGGGCAGAGTTAGAAGATCACCTATGGTAAGCAAAATCGAACCTTGGGAGCCAAAAGAATGAATGAAATGTATCCTGATTCTCACATAGAAGCATTGGAGGGTTTTGTTTGTTTATTTTTGTTTGTTTGCTTGTTTGTTTTTGTTTTTCAGGAAAGGATGGGATTGTCCAGAATGAAATTGAAAGATTCAGTCTGGTTCTTGGGCAGAAGACAGAAAAGGAGAGGCTCTGAAAAAAGAACTGACCAGGACATGTTACTGGGAAACTGAGGAAGAGAAAGTGATAGACCAGTCTTATGACATCAAAACATGGTAGAGGATAGTGGGAAGAGGATTCTGCCTGCAGTGGGAAGACAAAGCAGTAAGATTTATTGATGAAAAGTGTCTACTATCAGAAAATGACAGTTTAATAATAACTAAAGATAAGAACTGCATAACCCTCAAATCTTTTACCAAAGCTCATGACTCTAAACCTGATCAGATACATCAAGACAGTTGAGAATAGGTAAGCTAGACATTGTCACTGATACAGATTGATGCATAGCTGGCAGAAATTTACCTGAGACTAGAAGGGAGGAGAGCTACGAAGCATGAACTATGACAAACTGGAAAGCAGTCCACTGTTTATGAAGTGAATTTCTGCAACACGTCCAAGAACCTACTAATATTTACACAAGGCCTGTTTCTTAGTCACTAATGTTCTTTACTGCATAAATAGTCTCAAGAAATGACAGAATGGTAGTTTCATAGGATTTGGAGCAATGCCAGCTAGATCTAAAATTAATAGGTGAGATTGAAATAAACCTGAAGTTGCAAAGTTGACTCATAGTTAGGGTTTTTCAGTGGTTGCTAGGCAGTGTCATGAGAGTAAAGAGAATGATGTTATCATCTTGACAACATGTTGACTTGGGTTTCATTGCTTACGTGGAAACAAGAGTTACATTCTCAGTTCTCAATAATTTCTATATATCCCTGCAGCCTTAAAGGGCTATGCTCCTTGCTAAACCAGACCACCAGCAAAATGATTCGAACATTTGTCCATATGCTTGTGCTTGCCGTGGAATGTAGTGGAAATGTGTGCCATGATTTATCTATGAAATTATAATTAATATTAAGCTCTGTATATGCTATATTGTTCTTTTTTAATATTAGTTACAGTTTATTAACTTTGTATCCCAAATGTATCCTGCTCCCTCATTCCCTCCCAATCCCACCCTCCTTTTCTCATCTCCTCCCTGCCCCTTTCCAAGTCCACTGATAGAGGATGACCTCCTCCCCTTTCATTTGACCATGGTTTATCAAGTATCTTCAGGACTGCCTGCAAAGTCCTCCTCTGTGACCTAGCAAGGCTGCTCGTCCCTTGGGGGAGGGGGGCCAAAGAGCCAGCCATTGAGATCATATCAGAAATAGTCCCTGTTCCCCTTACTGGGGTACCCACTTGGATACTGACCTACCATGGACTATATCCAAGCAGAGGTTCTAGGTTATATCCATACAGGTCCTTGGTTGGAGAAACAGTCTCATAAAAAACCCCTGTGCCCAGATATATTTGGTCCTCGTGGAGCTCCTGTTCTCTCCACGTCTTACTAATTCCCCTTTTTTCTTTCTTTTTTTTTTTAATTTTTATTTTTCTTTTTAGTTACAATTTGTTAACTCTGTGTCCCAGCTGTATCCTGCTCCCTCATTCCCTCCCCCTCCCCAACTCCCTCCCTGGTCTCCTCCCTGCCCCTTTCCAAGTCCACTGATAGGGGAGGACCTCCTCCCCTTTCATTTGACCCTGTTTTATCAGGTATCTTCAAGGCTGGCTGCAAAGTCCTCCTCTGTGGCCTAACAGGACTGCTCCTCCCCTGGGGGGGGGAGGTCAAAGAGCCTGCCCTTGAGATCCTGTTAGAAATATGATTCCCTGCACTTTGCGGAAGATTTGGTTATGAGTCTCAGTATCTGCTTTGGTATACTGTTACTTAGAGTCTTTCAGAGGCCCTCTGTGGTAGGCTCCTGTCCTGCTATTTGTTTTCTCCTACATCCAAAGTCCATCCCATTTGTCTTTCTAAGTGAGGATTGATCATCTTACCCCAGGTCCTTTTTCTTGTTTATCTTCTTTAGGTGTACAGATTTCAGTATGTTTATCATATATTATAGGTATTTATAACTGTGTATATACCATGCGTGTCTTACTGCTTTTGGGATACCTCACTCAGAATGATCTTTTCTAGGTCCCACCATTTGCCTGCTAATTTCATGATTTCCTTGATTTTAATTGCCGAGTAGTATTCCATTGTGTAAAAGTACCACAATTACTGTATCCATTCCTCCATTGAGGGACATCCGGGTTGTTTCCAGGTTCTAGCTATTACAAATAAAGCTGCTACAAACATGGTTGAGCAAATGTCCTTGTTGAGTACTTGCTTATTGTTCTTATGTGTATGAAGCTATAATAAACTTTCCCTTCTCATTTATAAAAATAGAGCTTTTCCTTGGTCTGTCAGATTTTCTACCATCATTATTCTTTTACCCAGTATTGTTAGTATGAATAAGAATTGCAAGAACATAAGAAGCTGGTATAATAATTGTTAATATGACTATCAAGACAGCTACCAATGGGTCTATAGTAATATAATATAGATATGCTGAACAAAAGGATAATCCATGCCCAGATCAGGCCAAATAAAATAACATGAGTGTTAATCATTTTATAGGAAATGATATGTAATTTAAAACTAAGGCCTTTCAGGGTATCCAAGATGGCGGCAACCAGCGTGCATGCACCATATTCAGAGGAGATGAAACTCCGAATTTGTGAGTCGAGGGGCTGTGGAACACAAAACAATGGTACGAAGAGTCTGGGGAGAAGGGGGACAAACCCTGATCTGAGTCCAACAGGACACAGGTGAACTGCGAACATCTCCATGGGCTTCTGGGGAATGGATTCCCAGGCGCTTCCCCATAAAGGTCCGAAGCAGTGGCAGAGGTGGAGGCACAGCAGCCAACAGGAAAGCTGCAGCGGAGTTACCAGAGTTACTGGAATTATGGCAACTAGCAGCTGAAGTAGAGGAGGCACCCCACAGTGCACACAGCTTGCTTGCACATAGTGCTGCCTGCTCCAAGCACAGATCTACCTCCTTGATATTTGAGATTGAGAACATTCAAACCCCTGGCATTTCCCCCAGGACCTCCAATCTCCAGCCTTGCCTGAGGGGGAAGCAGCAGAGGAAGCACATAGCGCTTCCCAACTCAGAGAACAAATCCCAGCCTGCTGTGCTCATAACTTCTAGCACAGAGCACAGGGCTGGACACACAGAGCCCAAAACACAGTACTTGTCCCGCCTGCAGCGTCAGCCACAGACCTCAGAGCCCACCCAGCCTGCAGAGCTCTCCACAGACTGGAGACCACAGGGCAATCAGGAAACTTGTGCAGATCATTTGTGCCTGCAATCTGTGGTTAAGCGCCAGGATCCACATACCCTCCTGCGCTTGTTCCCAACCTGCATATCCCAAGCACCTACAATCTCTAGCACTCCCCTTCAAGACGCATGCGTGTGCGCGCGTGCACATACACGCTTACTCCCCCGCAATAACGATTCTGTTCCAGCGGTTTTCCTCCCTTAGGTACAATTTAAGCAGCAACACACACCCTCAAAACCCTGGACCTCCCTGATCTTCCTGAAGAATACTCCAGAGACCAGAGAAAGACAGTTCCAGTCTGAAGTTCAGACTCAAGGAAAAAACAGTGAAGATCACATATAAGCAAATGGCCAAAGGTAGGCGTAAGAATTCACTCAACAAAAATCAGGACACCATGGACCCACCAGCAACCCCCAAAATCAATGAATATTTCAATTCAGCGGAAATACAAGAAAATGACTTTAAAGCTATGCTTATGCAGTTACTAAAGGAACAAAAAGAGGAAATGAACAGTTCTCTCAAAGAAATACAGAAGACTATAACTGCCCACGTACAGGAACAATTAGAGACTTATAGAGAACAAACAAACAAAAAAATAGGAGCCACATTCACTCAGATGAAGGAAATGGTGTAAAGCATGATAACACAATTAGAATTTATAGAGAAAACACAAACAGAGAAAACCCTGGAACTGGAGAACTTAGAGAAAAAAAAATCAGAAAGGTAGGCATCACCAATAGAATACAAGAGATGGAAGAGAGAATCTCAGGTGCTGAAGATACACTGGCTGAAACTGATTCCTCCCTCAAAGAAAAGGGAAAATCAGAAAAGTTCCAAACACAAAACATACAAGAAATCAAGGACGCCATGAAAAGACGAAACCTAAGAATAATAGGAATAGATGAAAGAGAAGACTCCAGGCTCCAAAGACCAGAAAATATTTTCAGAAAAACATAGAAGAAAAAGTTCCCACCTTAAAGAAAGAGATGTCCATAAACATCCAAGAAACCTACAGAACACCAAATAGACTAGAGCAGAAAAGAAATACTTCACATCACATCATAGTCAAAACACTAAACCTACAAAACAAAACAAAAAAAAAAAACATTAAAGGCAGCAAGGGAAAAATGTCAAGTAACATATGAAGGTAGAGCAATCAGAATCACACCGGACTTCTCATCAGTAACTATGAAACCAGAAGGGCCTGGGCAGAGGTCATTCAGTCTTTAAGGGAACACAGATGCCAACCCAGGCTACTATACCCAGCAAAGCTTTCAATCAACATAGATGGAGAAAACAAAATATTCCATGATAAAACTAAATTTAAGCAATATCTGCACAGCAACCCAGCCCTACAGAGGATACTAGAATGAAAACTCCAATCCAATGAAAACAACTACACCGAAGAAAACATAGGATACAGATAATTTCCCAACAAAAATTAAACGAAAAAAAAAAGCAATGAATCATAGTAAGACCACCAACTCCACAATAAAAGGAACTAACTATCATTGGTCACTATTATCTATCAACATAAATGGTCTCAACTCTCCAATAAAAATACGCAGACTAACAGAGTGGTTGTGGAAACAGGATTCAACATTCTGCTTCATCCAAGAAACACACCTATGCAAAAAAGATAAACATTACCTCAGAGTAAAGGGCTGGAAAAATGTTTTTCAGGCAAATGGACCGAAAAAAAGTGGGAGTAGCATCCTAATATCTAATAAAATAGACTTTCAACCAAAATTAATCAAAAAAGATGAGGAAGGGCACTTCCTTCTCAGAAAAGGAAAATTCCAACAGTAGGACATCACAATTTTGAACATCTATGCTCCAAATACAAGACCACCTACATTTGTAACTAAAACATTATTAAGGCTGAAATCACACATTGATCCCAACACCTTAATAGTGGGAGACTTCAACACTCCACTTTCACCAAGGGACAGGTCATCTGGTCAGAAGCAAAACAGAGAAACAAGGGCACTTACAAAGACCCCAAATCAAATATACCTAATAGATGTCTACAGAACTTTCCACCCAAAATCAAAAGAGTATACCTTCTTTTCAGCACCTCATGGAATCTTCTCCAAAATAGAACATATAGTTGGTCACAAAGCAAACCTCAGCAGATACAAGAAGAGTGAACTAATCCCTTGTATCCTATCTGACCATCATAGTCTAAAGCTGGGCCTCAACCACAACAGAAACAGCAAAAAGCCTGCATATACATGGAAACTGAACAACTCACTACTCAATGACAGCTGTGTTAGGGAAGAAATAAAGAAAGATATTAAAGACTTCCTAGAATTCAATGAAAACGAAAGCACAACATATCCAAACTTATGGGGCACAATGAAGGCAGTGCTAAGAGGAAAGCTCAAAGCACTAAGTGCTTTCAAGAAGCAATTTGAAACATCACATACAAGCAACTTCATGGCCCAACTGAAAGCCCTAGGAAAAAAAAAAAAAAAAGAAGCAGATACACCCAAGAGGAGCAGACAGCTGGAAATAATCAAACTCGGTGCTGAAATCAATCAATTAGAAACAAATAAAACTATTCAAAGAATAAATGAAACCAAGAGCTGGTTCTTTGAGAAAATCAACAAGATAGAGAAGCCCTTAGCCAAACTAACAAAAAGGCAGAGAGAAACTATCCAAATCAGCAAAATCAAAAATGAAAAGGGGGACATAACTACAGACACTGAGGAAATCCAAACAATCATTAGGTTTTACTACAAAAGCCTATATGCCACAAAATTTGAAAATCTAAACAAAATGGACAATTTTCTTGATAGATTTCATCTACCTAAATTAAGTCAAGATCAGGTAGAAAGATTGAAAATAGAAACGGTCATCAAAAGTCTCCCTTCCAAAAAAAAGCTCAGGGCTAGATGGTTTCAGCACAGAATTCTACCAGACTTTCAGAGAAGAACTACAGCTTGGATACAAAGTAAATAACCTGTCATTAATATAGAAAAAAAAAATTAAAAAAAAAAACACTAAGACCTTTCTTATTTTCTAGAATGTTGCATTATATTTTTATTTTTGCTAGAAATGACTATAAGTAACCAGAAAGAATGTAAAATAAAACTGAATAGAGGAGAGGTGTTGTATTTCAACCAGGGTGTTGCTCTGGTCAACCCAATCTCTCAGGGCTTAGATTTCTATAAGTATTTAACATGTAATCAATTTTCCTTAGCCATCTACCTCAGACATTGAAAGTGATCTACCCAATAAAATGCCTCACCTAAAATGTAGTATTTCGGGTGGTGTTGAACATAAAGAGGAGTGAGATGTTAAGTCCACTAATCATGTACTCCCAGATAAATGGGAAGGAAGTGGTCCTCTCAGTCTTGTTTGACCCCTTTCAATAGGAATGACTGTCCTTCCTTAATACATTGAATGCCACATTCCTCATATATTTGTGCTTATCTATTGGTGTTTCCACTAACTAATACAGCCTCCTGGTATAGCTTGGAAGTGTTGTCCAGGGTTTCTCTGTGAGAAAACATGGCTGCGGTTGTGTAGTATCCCAATGGGGGGAGGGATGGAATTGAAAGAAAATCTTTGTTCAGACATGAACTTCAATGTCATTGTCTATGAGTTCAGTGTTAATGAATCAAAAACACTCAAGTTGTCCCTAATCAATGCAAAGTTATCTACTGCTTGATGATGATAATGGCATGAGGCTTACAGGGGGCTCTTTGGACCAGTGACTCCATATTTCCAGCTTCAGTAACTGTGCACCACAAGCTGGTGAAGATGATGAAATGGTTAGCTATATAGTTCAATACTCTAACAAGCAATAAGGCCCCAGTTAGTTATATCCCTGAGGTTTCTGGTAACAACAATAAAAGCTGCTAGACGTGAATACTCATTCACACAAAAATAAGAAGAATCATATTTGCATAGGAAGTCAGAAACTTTGCTGAAACACAAATTTGCAACAATAAAGGTAAAAATATTCAACACAAATGAGAGTCAGAAGATCAACAAATCACAGAATAACACTCACAATATGCTGAGTTAGGAAATCACCACTATAAAGGAAGAGTGTCTGAATTCTTTATACTTTAAAATACCAAAGAAAAAAAGCATCATTATTGGAGAAAAAATTTGATAGTTTGAATAGAAAACATGAACATCTGAAAATGACAAGACAGATGTCTAGACAAGAGAAACATACTCATTGATTAGTATTAAACATTTGACATTTGGTTTAATAACAAATTAGGCATAACAGAGAGAAAAGATGACTCAGTATAGAGCTAAGGAGGTGACTGCAGACCATGGAGGCACTGGAAAGAAAAGAAGAAATAAAGGAATGAAGGGAGAAGAAACTATTAGAATACTTGGAATGTGTGTAAAAGGGAGCACATAGAAGCAGAGATTGAATCCAGGGACAAGAAAAGTAGAAAGCATACACTGAAAGCCCCCATTAGGTTTCATGAGACATCACTCCTAGGAGAAAATCTAAATCATACAGAAATGATAGGTCTTGGCTTTGTACCACTTGATCTCTATGTGCTATGTATGCAGAGTTTCATCTATTATTGACACTTGATATGAAAGACCCTGCTATTTTGG